CTTGCCCCTTCTCTTTTTTTAATTAGTAATATAGATTGTATCATAAATACTTATTTTACATTTATATTTTATATTAACTAAATAATTTAATTTGTAATAACTAAAAAATGTATAATATATGCTTATCCTAAATTGGTGATTCAGAATAACAATTAAATTTGTATTAGGAAATGACTCGTGAATTTATTATATATAAATATTATTTCCTTCATTTCAAAATAAGTGAATTATTAAAATATTGCACACTTTTTAAGAAAAGAATATTAAGACATTACTCTTTTTTTAGATGTAATTACTATTTTTATCTTTTTTAAATTATTGTCAAATTATTCTTTAGAATGAATAAACATTAATTATAATAACTACTCTCAATACTTCAAAACAAGTCTTGAAGATTGAACAATAAAGTTAATTTAAACTATGAAAAATGTCTACAAAATTCACTTAATTTGAAATGGAGAAAGTATATTCTTGTTGTTGTATAGCCTACTAAAGAGAATGATAAAATTTATATATAAGGACGATAATTTAAAAGTACAAAGGAAAAAAGTAATTCGTATTGAGCATTTTATGGCATAATTGTCGGATAACGTTGTCGAAAAAGTAAGAATTTGCGAGTTTGAGAGCATGAGTTATTACAACTATGAGAATAATACATCCATTATGATGAAAATTATGCTTTACAAGTGAGGGGAAGATGTAAATTTATAGTATAAACCTTAAATAACGTTTTCCGTCTTCATAGTCCTTCATAATCTCTACATGATATTTTAAGATCATAATATGAAAAGACAGTTTGATACATTCTACATATATTTAATATAAGATCACAAGACTAAAAAAAATTATTTAGTTAAATTTCGTATCAAATCAAAATCAGTCAAACAAATTAAAATGGAGGGAATTTCAAATAGGGTTATTCACAATTATTCTCTATATAGTTGTCCACTATTGACTTGGCGCACACCTTAGGTAATAAAAGTAATATATATTACCCTTTGAATATATCAAATTAATGCTTTGAGAAATGTATTGCATATTGAATAGTATTTAATTACTAGCAAGGGTAAAATAGACACAAAATATCTCTTTATTTTCTAAATTAGACAAGTAATGTTGAATAACTATGTTTAATATAGTAGACAAATAAAGATGGATGAATGACCAAATCATGAAGTAAACATCTTTTATGGATCAATACATATACGGTCAAACCTTTTTATAGTAAACATGTAGCTTTCTTTATGTTAACACTGATTCATGCATTAATCTCTTGATCAATGTAAGCTTCAAGGATGAAAATAGTATGAGGGTAAAAAAGCAAATATCGGTAGTGTTTTTTCGTAAAGTTATAAGCATAACTTATGGTGATGTGCATCATTTGAATATAATTTTATTTTTTTTTGCATGACATTAATAATGATTATTATAAATATTTTAATATTTTATTTTACATTCAATATATTTCTTATAAAATATTGTGTAATGACTGTTCTAGTAGGATAATTTTATAAAGAGTCTAATATTATAATGAATGTCATTGTTATTAGCTGCAATTAATTAATGATAATGACTTAATTGACGCTAAAATCATATTTTTAATAACATTTAGCACTCTTTATAAATGTCGATAAAGCCTAAAAAGACACTGAATTCAATGACAATTAACTAATACCGATAAAAGTTTTATCATCCTTTGTTAATTTGTATATTTATTGCCGCTAAAAGATATTTTTATTATAACGGTAGAATGTTGTTATAAAAAAACTAAAATATAATATGAAAAATCAGATCACTATAGTGAAATGTCGTTATAACAAATGTACATTAAACAAAAAAATTATTGTAAATAAAACTGTGAATGAAATAGCAAGCATTTAGTTTGTCCAGAAGACAAGAGAAAATGAAAAAAAAAAAAAGTTCCTTAATAGCCCATTAAATAGTACTCTTTCTATCCCTAATTACTTGTTCACTTTTTTTAAAAAAATTGTTCTTAATTACTTGTCAATTTTGATAAATAAAAAAATTACAATTTTTTAACCTATTATACCCTCAATTAATTACTTTAAAAAAATAAAACTTCTTGAAAATCTTAAGGGGTCGTTTGGTTGGGAACAAGTTATCCCAGGATTAGTTATCCTGGGGTTAGCTATCGTGGGATAACTTATCCCACCATGTATATGGGATAACTTATTCCATCACTATGATATAAATGGTGGGAAGTTATCCCAAACAAGATACAAAAAATTATCCCATCACTATTTATTTTTATCTCTCACACCAAACGACTCCTAAATTTTTAATCTATCCACTTCATAATACATAGAGGTAAAATGGACAATTCACTATGTCAATAATTATTTTCTTAAAAAGTGTGTCGATTCAAAAGTGGACAAGCAATTAGGGAGATAGGGAGTAGCTGAACATTTTTTTAATCTTTTTAAGTTTGTCAAAATAGGCACTTTCATTCTCTTCGTCAAAATTTATTAAATATTTGATGAAATCTAGACATTCTTAATTTTTTATAAATATAAATGATGAAAGAAAAAAAATGGTTTGGACAATATTTCATAAACTGTTTAAACCCTACCTTCAAACATTAATAACCAATTTTTTCCCCAGAAAATATAATTTTGATATTAGATTAAAGTTGGAGATAATATTTCGCTGCTGATTTGGTGGCCTCAAAAAAGGATTAGTCTTATATGATACAATACATATTTGTATCAACAGCTGGAATAGCTCAGTTGGTTAGAGCGTGTGGCTGTTAACCACAAGGTCGGAGGTTCAAGCCCTCCTTCTAGCGTTCTATTTTTACACTTTTTGTTTCGACCAATTTCTTTTTTTAAAAAAACTATGTATCTTTAGAGCAACTTTCACATATAGCAAATACAAAATTCATATTTGTATGCTATAAAGTTTGCATAATTGCGCTCCATAGCAAGCATATATATGTATAATTCGCTATACATATACAAAAAAAAAACAGTTGTATAATCTGCTTTGGTATACATATACAAAAATATCAATTGTATAAAGTGAGAGAGGCGAGTGAGAGAGCGAGATCTGGGAGAGTGGTGAGCGAGATCTGGGAGAGGGGAGAGAGAGGAACGAAAATATATGTATATATACAATTTTCTCTCGCTTTATACAAACACAAACGCATTTTATACACTTTGCGTTTTTTGTATAAAGTGAGAGAGACGACATTTTATACAATTTGCATTTTTTGTATAAAGTGAGAGAGGCGAGTGAGCGAGCGAGATCTGGGAGAGTGGCGAGCTAGATCTGGGAGAGGGGAGAGAGGGGAACGAAAATATATGTATATATACAATTTTCTCTCGCTTTATACAAACACAAACACACTTTATACACTTGCGTTTGTATAAAAAAATGAGAGAGGTGAGGGAGAGAACTAGGGAGAGAACGAGAGTGGCGAGCGAGATTCACCAGGAGAGAGGTGAAATAGCAACAATTTGCTATGAGGTACAATTAAATCAAACTATATTTATAGCATTTAATTTGAATTAATAGTTTGCTATTATATACAATTTTCCCTTATCTTTACTATTTATTTAATTCTCAAAGCACTCTTTCCAAAACAAAATAAAAAATTATATCCATCGTTCCTCCTTTATTTCAAAATTATATTTTTGGATAAAAAAAGATTAAGGATATTGTTAGTCATTTTAACAAAAAAACAATTTATCAACACTTTTGATTAAATACATTTTCTACTTATTTTTTGGTTTTAGCTTTTTATCTAAACACATAATAGTTTATTTATAAAATCAATTTTAGCACTTAAAAATGATTTCCAACACTTAAAACGTAGCAACCATATATAAGATTGTAGGTTCCATAATATACATGTGTCTAACGTGAAAGTGAGACTTGATACACACGACATCCAAAGGGAAGAAAGTTTCAAGTAACTTGGATCTATGAGAGATTGAAGGGGATGTCACCTATCTCAATGGCGTAGCCACCTGTGGTGGTCAGGGTGTCCTATCCTTCGTCGGGAAAAAATATTGTATATACAAGTAAAATGATACACGAAATGATTAAATAACATATTTTAGACACCCTTAACATAACAAACTATTATAGCCTAGTGGTTTCACCTCCTTAGAATGAGGAAGTGCTCGTGTGTTTGAATCTCACTAGTTCTACTTTTTGAAAAGAGTTTTTGTTGTGCTATTTCTAGACACCCTTTGTGAAATTTCTGGTTTCGTCACTGACCTATCTTATTGGTGCAATTAGGTGGATGAAATAGAAGCTCGCATCCGGAGTCTTATTTGATACAAAGGTGCCACCAAAAATTAAAGGAAAGCTCTATAGAGTGATGGTTAGACCAATTCTTTGTAAATTATATGGGGCGGAGTGGTGACTAATCAAAAACTCTCACTTTCAAAAGATGAAAATTGCAGAAATGAGGATGTCGCGGTGGATGTGTGAGGATATTAGCTAGGAAAGACAATATTTGAAATCTGAGAATATCTGAGATAATGTGGGAGTAACTTGGGTGGAGGACAAGATATGGAAAACGAGGTTAAGATACTTCGGATATGTAAAGAGGACAGGCATGGATACCGCAATACATGGATGGTTTTAAGAGAGGTAGAAGTAAACCGAAAAAATATTTAAGGGAGTTGATTAGACAGAACATGACATAGCTCCAACTTTATGGGGACATGTCCTTATATCAATTACACCTTAATTCAGAAATGCATATTTTGCCTGTGAAATACTTTATGGCCGGCTGATAAGAAGGATAATTTGGAAATTGGAAGTTTAGTGGATATTGGCATCAAGGAAAGGAGTGGTGTTATATTTTTATTCTTTAAATGCCCTTAGATTCGTCTTAATTAGAAGTAGTAAAATTGAAGTTTGCTAGTAGTAGAATTTATGCCCAAGCTATATAGTACACTAGTACTATATATTCACTTTTAGTAGTTGTCTTATATTTTTCAGATTACTAATCTCACTTTTTATGAACAGTTACATGTAGTTTCTTAATGAAAAGAGGATTTTGGTCATATTGTATGGTGAATTGGGAATAAATTAAAGAACATCAAAAGCTTTCTGGCCCATAGATATATCTGAGTGCGCTCTTGTATTGCACAAAGAAAGTTGATGTATCTAATTTTTAGAGCTATATATATTCACAGTTAGTCTTGCAAATTTTAACATCAATATATATTAATTCACCATATAACATGTCGAATAGTACTACTTCAAGTTTTCTCTATTTTCGTTACGAAAGTTTTAGAAAGTCGATGTCGAAATCTAAGCGATCACTTCACCTCTCAAAGGTAAAGCAAACGCCAAGCACAACGTCTTTGGTTCATTTCAGTCCAAAATTGGAGGAAATGAAAAGAGTGTTTGACAAATTTGACACAAACAAAGATGGAAAAATCTCTAAAGAGGAATATAAATTGGCGATGAAGATGATGAGCAGCGGTGGGGGAAATACAAAATCTTATGAAGTTGATGATGCATTTCAGGCTGCAGATACTAATGGGGACGGATTCATTAACTTTGAGGAGTTCATGAGAGTGCAGAGTCTCGAAGGTGGTGTGAATTCGACTGATATTAAAAGCGCTTTCAAGGCGTTTGATTTGGATGGCGATGGGAAAATTAGTGCAGAGGAATTGTTGCAAGTTCAGCGAATGTTGGGAGAAAAATGTAGCTTAGAGAGTTGCAAGAAAATGGTCAGAAGTGTTGATGCTAATGGGGATGGACTTATAGACATGGATGAATTTGTGACCATGATGACGCGTACCATGAAGCTCGTATGAGAGTTGTCCAAGTACACGAAAACAATGTAGTAATGTCATACAATAGCTGCAGATATATATATAGTCTCGATCCGTTTTCTTACTGCAATAAAGTATCCTATTTTCTATATTTGAGTTTGTTATGCCGATTAAATTTCAAAAAAAAAAAAAAACTTCCAAAGAAATATATAGTGTTACAATTGTAGCACTAGATATAATAACTTATGTAATATTTCGATTTTGTTCTGAGACAGAAACGCGATTAACTCATTTTCCAGTACATTAGGCTTGTGAGCAACCAAAAACACAGTGATTCTGGTTGAGGGTGTACCAAATTAAAGTATTACATAGATTATGAATTATTAGGACTCACAGTCTATGTACTTGTAGGACTTAATTTGTGTTGTACTAGATTACCTTACCTATTCCCCTTACCAATATAATATCCCCTTTGTATTCATAATATATATGAAACAGATATGCAACCATGAGCCTCTGTACATGAATGTCATGCCAGCGAGAAGTGCCATGATCTAACCTTTAGGGTTGAGTTTGGTTGAAGTTCATTTCTTCACATGACCAATTTGTGTATTACCCAATGACGGACCCCCATGTATTATGCTGCTACACTCCAAATGTCCACTCTTAGCGTGCATTGGACGCTAGAGTCCCATGCACGTTAGTCGAGGAAATGAATTGATCAACAATCTTTCCAGCTTGATTCTAAGATGCTGCACTAATTGTGGTAAAATGGGACTCTATTCAAGAATCTGTGTCATTTTCATTTTTATTTTTATTTTACTTCTTACTATTGGAAATGGAATAAAATTGCTAGAATCAGCATCATTATTTCAAATCCACAAATGAAAAAAACAATTCATATTATTAGTGTGAATCAATTCGTTTTGAACAAAAGTCCAAAAGTAAAAGATGCCCATCAAATTTTATAATGCTAGAAAGATTCCCTAGCACTTGTAAAGTTAGTGCAAATTTAACAGCCTAACATACACATTCTCTACAAGTTTTTTAATTTTCTCTTTGTTAACTAACTAAAGGGGAAGGAACAATACAAATGGCTATAATGAGTTGTTTCGAGCTTCCAGTGCAGCAGCCCGATAGGGATATGTCAGTACAAGAATTCAAGGTGTGGATTAAGCAATTCGACATGAATCATGACAAGCGTATTAGCCCTGAAGAATTAACAGAAGCACTTGAGAGTCTACACATGTGGTTCAGCTCATGGAAGGCTCGTCGAGTCATGAAGGATGTTGATGCTGATCATACAGGATTCATTGATAACAAGAAAGAAGTAGAGAAACTGGTCAAGTATGCCCAACAACGCTTGCACATGAAAATCCATCAAAGTTAAGTACATACGGGTGACTCCCTTGCTGATTTGAACCCACAATCTTAAGATTGAGGGGACTTTGGTTGTCATGTTGTTGCCTTTTTCTTTATGTATGGAAATCCACTTGTTAATTAATCAAACCTCTTGGTCGTGTAAACTTATCAAAGGTAAAAAATTTCCTAACCAAGAACTCCTTTATTTTCGTTATTTACATCAATAAAGTGTGGCTAATTATAATTCATTAACTGATAATTATTGCAATTACCAATTAACCATGAGAGCTTGGACGGTTGATATTGTCGCATAATAGTAAGTGTAATAGTATAATGATTTTACTATTACAGTATTACTTTAGTAAAAGTAATAGTAAGGTCACGCTTAAAAATAGTACTAAATTTAAACTTTAAAATCACCACTACACACACCCAAACTCACTTATAAATTAAGGACGAATCGTATGGATTTATATACAAATCCTAGTAATTTGTTAGTACTCATGATAAAACAAGTCGCTCATCAATTTGAATTCCGTCAAAATTTATGATCGAAATAACCAAGTGTCAAGTTTGTATAGAAATCCTTACGATTTTTATAGCAAAACAAGTTTTGGCCACCAATTTGAAATCCATTCTTAAGGATTTCGCTATTTAATGCTGGTCGCTAATCTAATTTTTCACAAACTTTTCTTAATGATTACAAAACTTAAATAGTGACATCGAAAGTGCCTATTTCTGTAAATCTTCCAAAGTGGGCCTAGATATTGGGGTTGCACATCTCCACTAAATGAAACGAAATGATCAGCCCGAGTGATCTTTGCTTCATCCGTTCATATTTGACTTGGCATATATATACTTTTAAAAAATATAATTAGAATTGTATTTTATGATATTATTTATAGTTATTATAAGTGCCCGAGTAAATTCTGCTTCATCCGTCCAATCACTATTGTATATTCTTACTATTGATTTTGTAGAGCCCTCGTTCACATACATCATTTACAAGGTTTTCTCCATTTACAAAAATAAAATATCTTATAAATTCTATCGAAAGAACAAAATTTAAGGGTTGGCCGCAGGCTAATTTGGGTTAATATTGTATTGGCCCTTCAATATGAAAGGCCGGATCGTTAAGCTCTCCAACCCAATCTAAGTCGGTCTATTTGGACGCTCCTAGTAAACATTAAGTGGAAGTAAAATTTTGAAAAAACTATCTAATTACATAAATATTGCTATCATATTTACTAATTCTTCATATAGTTTGAAATAATAACATATTATCTTACTAATTAATAATTTCATATCAGATTTCAAGTCAGATACACATAGATACATGTATTTTTGTTACCTGATACACTAAAATAAGGAAAGAGGCAAGCTAGAGAAGGAGAAAGGCGAGTGAGATCCTCATATGCATGTGAATCCCCCCAGATACATGCTAATCACATTAGATACATGTATCTAGTAACTAAATATATGTATCTAGGATATCACATACATGGAGAGAGGCGAGCGAGAGAGGAGAGTGACAAGCGAGATGGGAGAGAGGTGAGTGAGGGAGTCAAATACATATGAATTCACTTAATTACAGTGTATTTAAAACAAATTACACTTAATTTTGACCCATGTATCTGGGATACATTTATCTAAACGTATTTGGACGAGTCAAATACATAGTATCCGAAGTCCAAAATCTAGTAAGATTTATAATATGCAAACAACACGAATCTAAATAATTAGCTCATAAACTAGTGAGATTTCTCTAAGTTACCAAAATAATTCCACTAAGCTAATATAGAAGCTAGGATCAACAATTAACCAAAAAAAAAGTTCCCCAATCTACTCTTTTTCCTTTTGTAAGGGGTCCAAATATGCCTTTAAAATTGAGCAAATATATCTTTATTAATTATTTAGTTCTTATATGTTCTTAGGTTCAATAATTGATCCAAATATATTCTTAATTTAACAAGAACCCTCAATTAATCTAATTATCTCATTAAAAATGGTCAAATATTCCCTTACTAACGTATGCTAAATTGAGCAATATTTCTTTAGCTCCTATCTACCTCGCACACATACCAAAATTTTTCCATCGAAACTTTATAGCAATAGAGAATGGAAAAAATGGTGAATAGCTCGAGGAACTCTGAAGTTGCATGAGTTGTAAATCCATTGTGTACTTTTGTAGCTTTTTAGTGATCTATATATATATATATTATATATGTGGAGGCGTAGTCGTATTAGCTTTAGGTGTTAGTCAATCCACTTTACTTTTGACTCCTCATGTCTAAGTTCAAAAAGCTACATAGTATCTCTGCAAAAGCTGTTACTTAATCTTATTAGTATTATAAACACCTTGTGGATTTCGAAGAATATGTTTGTCTACTGTTTTTGGGCGAACTTTTTACTTGTTAGAAGGTTGGGGGGTTGAAAAAAGGCGGAGGTAAAATTTTAACTATATGAATTTGAGATTCGAATTCTTTAAAGTTGTTATGTTTTAAATTAAAGAGAAGAGTATTAGAAACACTCATAAATTCAACGTAAATTATTAGTTTCATTTTTGATTTATTGGTAGTCTTAAAATATCTATTAACTTGACTAATTGAACTTAAATACACCATAATCTTTCAACTTGAGTAAAATACACCTCTAAATTCTCCAAAGTTTAGGAGTGTTTTCAGCACTTCTCTCGCCTTTTTATTAAGAGCCTTATGTTCCTACAAAGAGCTTGAGATCCCACTTATCGAGGGTGTATCTAAGTTTAGTTAGTCAAGTAAAATGGTGTTTTTAAGTTGTCAATAGTTCAGAGACGAAATTAATAATTTATGTCAAGTTCAACAGTATTTTCAATACTTGTCTCTGATGAGTCCGATATTTGGACTCATTTAGGGTTTTGTTTATATAGATTTAGTGTCCTCAAATGCTTATTTTGTGCCAATAACTGATGTTAAATCTTTGATTTTCAGGAATATGGATTGAGGAACAAAGCAAGGACACTAACAGGCAAAAAAAAACAAAACAAGCTGAAGAAATGAAGATGGGTGAGCCTGAGGATCGCCAAGAGCACTCGGCGTGTCGCCGAGTGGCTCATCTAACCACCTAAAGTTCCAGTGTGTCAAGCCCTGAAGGAAAGAACCAAGTCGGCGACGAAAAGGAGCAGTCGGCGAATCGCCGAGTGGTTCCGCGAAGCCAAGATAGATCTCCCAAAGTTACAAACCTTGAAGATGCCGAATACCAAGGCGAAAGAGCGATGGAAGAGACCAAAGGGTGGCTCGCCGATTGGATCGGTGAGCCCGACTTACTTCGCCAAAGGGGATTTTGTAGCTTATTTTTGGCGACTATAAATACGTTTTTTGAACATTTAGTTTAAGAATCTTTTTTGACATTTGAGATAATTTTTATGAAGTTCTATCATCTGGAGACAGTTTTCTCCAGAGTTTTCTTTAGCTTTGAAGGATTGAAGAAATTCACTTTTGAGAAATTGGAAGTGGGTCTTTGAGATTCATCAAATTGGAGCATTGTAAAGATGAAATCACTCTTACCCAGTTGATGGATAATCAATTTGGTAACTGTTTTTACCTTTTTATAATGTCTAGCTAAAACCCCAATTCTTGGGGTGTGATCATGTGATTGTGGGTTGATTTAGCTTATGGGTATTGCTAATTATTAGTTTAAATGCTATTTAAAAGTGAGTTTAATCATTAATTGTGGTTTAATTTAAGAATTGTAGTTGCAAATGCAGTTCTATGTTTGTGTTCTTGGCTTGCTCGAGAGAGAGAGGTTTTAGAACTAAGATTTTTGATTGATGGTTTGTGGGTATTGGGTTGATCTGGGTTTAGCTCGAGAGAGTAAATCCTAAACCCAATCCCAAACATTTAGCTCGAAAGAGTGAATGGATTAAGGTGTGGACTGCTCTTAATTTGCATGCTTGTTGATGTTCGAGAGAAATCACTTGATTCGGGGTAATTGTTCGAGAGAAAATTACCTCCCTTATAGTCAAGCCTACTCACTAATATCTAGCTATTTATTAATACTTGCAATAACCCATATGCCTATATTTGCCTATAATTGATCACATCCCAAGAATCCGTCTCATTACTGTTAATTCCTATTGTTCGTACTGCTTTTAGTTGATAACTAAAACCAAAACCCCCCATCTGACATTCGTGTCACCCCTTTACTTGATTATGTTTTTAATCGATAATTTCTATTCCTATGGCTGATTAGACCACATTCATACTTCCTAATTGAATTTGAGACACGTACTGCTCCCTGTGGGATTCGCCCCCAACTCATTTAGTTGGGTTTTATACTGATTTACGATCGTTGAACACCTAGAATTGGATGAGGTGTGCTTGAAACGTCAAATCAGTCTCTTAATAATTTGTATATAATCGATGGAACTTTAATATAAATACTCCACCCGTTTCAATTTGTTGACATATTTTTAATTTCTTTTAGTCCGTTTAAAAAAATGAATTTTTCCTTTTTTTTTAGGGATTCTTTAATTTCAAATTTTCAAATGGCATGTTTAAAGCTATATCATTAAATAACATTTTAAAATTTCTTTTACTTTCTTAAACTATGTATCAAGCTAAAATAGGTCAATCAAACTAAAAGGAAGAAAGTAAAACATTTGGACCAAAACTACTAACTTTGATCAAATTCGTAATTGAAGCGTTAACTCTGCATTCCCTAGGTTCGAATCTACTTTGTTAAAAGAAAAAGGTTGCATGGAAGAATCAAAATTCAAACCTATGACACATCTTAGAAAAATAAGGATCAACTAAAACCAACACATAAAAGCACTTTCCATGACCAAAAATAATTAAATGTACAACCTTTTTAACATATACAATGCACCGATTCCTCCTATTGTAACTCAAACAATATTACGTTAAGTAAGACAAAGTGAGTACTACTGAACACCGTTTATATTAAAAAAGAATCTTTGTTATGCCGCCTCTGTTATATAGGGGAGCTAGTTTAATAGGTCAAAGGAGTTGCACCTAGAGATTGTAGATAACGTGGTCCCTCTTGAGTATTATCATTATTATCCACCAACATAGGTTTTGCTGCACTAGTAGGAGCACTTTATCCTTAATTAGAGTTATTGGGTTCGAACTTTGAATATGAAGAAATTTTTGTTGGAAGTATCATACCCGAATGAGCCTTGCAGTATGCGATTCAAATTTAATTTGAGCTCTAATGTGGATGCCGAACACAGGGTGGAAAAAAAAACCATTATTAGCCAGCTCATTCAGTGTT